GTGATGGACTTGAATTACATTCGAGAACTACCGTAGAGTGTTAGAGGTTAGTCTATCTTAATGGGGGTGAGATGGTTACCTAACACTTGTAGTGGATTGTTATTTGTGAGAGCAACCACTATTGTTCAAGTAAGTTCGAGGCTGAGGGATGGTATACCTTTCCTTAGAAGGATTCGTCAATGCCGTGGGAGACGGTATACGCCCTCCTTAAAGTGGTTTGTGTAATTATGATGGGTGAACGAGGTAGAATCGTTGTGTAGATTCATAAGAAGCAACTAACATACGGGAGAATATGGGATGATGCTATTGAATGATTAATTGATTTCTTCACATGCTTATTCCTTTCATTTAATTTAGTGCTATTGCGTTAACTTGAGATCGAATAAATTGTCACTATTTTATTTTAAGTTATATATGATATTTTGAAAAGTGGGACCAAACTGTTTTATATATTTTTTAAACCTTATTCAAGTTTGGGAGGATGTTACTACAGAGCTTAGTGCTCACCCCCTACAAATACTATTTATTCTCAGATGTCGGTTTAGATGAAGAGCTCGGAGTTGATGAGCAGGTTGCTTGTGAAGCGCAATTGGATGGAAGCGTGGATCCCGAAGGGGATGTCTAGAGTTGATCTCTCCATGTCCTAGACTAGGAGATGCATTTTGATACAATGGATAGATGTTATTTTGTTTATTCCACTCCAAGATTAAGTTTAATTTTGAGATGTAATTTTCATAGTTTGACATATTCTTTTTGGATGTAGATGCCATGGTTTAGCATATTCTTTTGGATAATGTTGTAGATATTATGTACGATGAATGAAATTTGTCTTATTTATGAATTTTATTAGTTGCTCTCATGATGTGAATGATTTTAAATAGTAATGCCGTCCAAGATGAATTTTGGGGCGTTACACACATGTTCAACGAAATTTCTCAAAGAGCCATGGACATCATGTGTTCGTCTCGCTTCCACTCCATTCACTTCTTTGTCGCTCACTCATGATTCCTATTTTAATTTTTGTGAAACCTAATATTGACGAATTCTGGCACCAAAGGCTTGGGTGCTTGCTGATGGATTTTCGAAGCATTCTTTGGTGTACATGGAAAATAGGTAATTATATGTTGGACCCATCTGTTATTAGTAATTGTAACATACTTTTTCGGATTAGATGTAAATTGACTATGTTGGTTGCTTTGTTATTGGTACTGTATCAAATGTTTTTTGATTACTATAGCTCCTCCATTTGTTGATGCATGGGGCTCTTTGTTGCTTTGATGCTAAATTTGGTCTGAAGGTGCTATTCTTTGAAAGTTGCCAATTAGTTTGGGACCATTTCATGTAAGCTCCTGGCATTATTGTAGTTCATGTTCCAAGTTCATTAAGAGATTTATATGACTAATTTCATCCTCTTTATTTTGTTAATTGCATTGAATTTGACACTTTTATTATTTAGCCATTAGTTGAAAAATTAAGTATCAATAGAGAAAGAAGAATATACCCGTCAGTAGTAGAATAAGTGGGTTTGGTAGATTTGGATACCACAAAATGTACAATTAGGAACTTGGATTTGAAACTAAATTTGATTTGGGATTGGTATAACATGCCTTCCATGTTTTTGGCAATATATGTGGAAGTTTGTTTTATTTTCGAGGTAAGGGGAACATGATATTCAAACTTCAATAGTGTGTGTGGCTCACCTATGTCATCTAGCACAGTGGCAAAGACAACAACCAGTAACAACGCAATGCGATAGTCGGCCTCCTCCTTTCCAGCTAACAATCAGTAGGTGTTTTTCTTTTATGTTTCTATTTGGATCTGGATATTACTGAATTTTAATTTTTTAGGTGTTGTTTTATGCTCATAATTACATCATTTGTTGGTATGCACATTAGGAGTACTTTTGTTGGTTATTGTACATCCTCCTTAAAGCAATTATACACATGTCTTTTGCAATCAACTTTTATCTTTTAAACTTCATCTATTTCTTGCACTTCTTCTTCTTGACCTTATTCAAGTTCAGTTTAGAAGTTCAGGTTTCTCACGCACATGACACAACACACGCACCCAGCACACACTCTTAAACACCCACACACACTTACTCTAATATCGTGATTTCTATACTCTCTTTTTGAAATTCTGATTTGAGGTTTTCTGTGGTCGATTTGGGGTATTCTATCACAATTGTTAGTCAGCCCCTTCCTTAGTTTTCTATAAATCCATGACATTTGATTTATGTGATTTATGTAAATTTTATTAAATTACTTCTCTGATTAAGGAATGATTAATTGGTTGTTGGTCCTTTGGTTTTTGATGCGCAATCAATTTTGATCTCTCTCTATACTGGTTATTTATTCTCTTAATGTTTAGAGTTTCTTATTTGATTTAAAGAGATTTGTGTTAAGTTCTTTAAACACTATGTTTAAACACTTAGATACTAAAAGTGGGTTTTTAGTATCTCGTTCTAGGTTGTTTTTGCTATCAATCACTTGGTACGGTGTCTACTGTCTATCTATGGCATTGGCTTCGGGATCATAACATTATTTGGTTTTATGCAGTGGTATTGTTCTTGAAATTCTATGTTACTTTTGAAATTGGGTTTTTATTATCTTGGAACCTTACCAAATTGAAGTTCATACTTTTGGCTATGGAAGGAATTGGATTTTAGTTGATTAGTTGAGAAGTCGCATTTGTCAGTGAGATTTCCTTGCATTTTGTTTTTACTCTATGTGCAATAATTATGTCATACGATTGTGTTTATACTTGAAAGTGCATATATCTAATATGTATATTAGAAAAGCCTTGGAATATTTGGTAAATACTACTTTCTACAGTATATTTGGATTTTAGCTTGGACTGTTGATGGTTGGTACTGCTAGACTGGTTTTTGGTGTTGTTTGGTATTGCCGGACTGCTCTGTTCTATTTTGTGCAGACTCCTCTGCTTTGTTTTCCTTTGTTTTGCTCCTTTTTGTAATCTTTGTTTCCTTTTGCAATGGGGTGGTGGATCTTCTGTCCAACTATCTAGAAGATCGTTCATCCCTTTATTTTACCTTGTACATGTTTTCCCTTTTGATTTATGATATTTCATCTTACCTACCAAAAAAAAAAAAGATTTGGGTGCTGCTGGAAAGATACTTGGTGTGGAAACTTGTAGGGAAAGGGTGGCAGGAAAGTTATGGTTGCCTCAAAATTACAATGTTACAAAGGTGTTTGAAAGGTTTAGTTTGCATTATGCTAAACTTGTAAGCACTCCATTGGCAAATCATTTCAGGTTACATGCACGTCAATGCCCAAAGACACATGAAGATATTCAAAACATGTCAGAGGTGTCTTATGCCAGTGCAATAGGTTGTTTGATATATTCAATGGTTTGTACTAGACCGGATTTGACACATGTTGTTGGCATTGTCAGCAAGTACATGACTAATTCGGGTACTGAGCATAAGTTGGCAATCAAGTGGATATTTAGATAATTGAATGGTATAGCACACCAAGGTATTGTGTTTGAAAAGTATCAGGATTCTATTTCAATCGTGGGCTATGTGGATGCCGATTACGCTAGGGATTTGGATGACATGAGGTGTACTACAGGGTATGTGTTTACAATTGTAAGAGGATATATTTATTCGATATCCATGTTACAATAAACTAGTGGCTCTATTTATAACTGAAGAAGAATGTGTGGTAGTGATTAAGGCTACCAAGGCAGCATTGTGAGTGAAATGTTTGGTTAAAGAGCTTGGTTTAAAGCAAGGTGGAGTTCATGTGTATTGTGATAGTGAGAGTCCCATTTATTTGGCAAAGTATTAAGTGTATCATACCAAGACAAAGTATATTGATGTGAGGTTTCACAAGGTGAGAGAGTTAATTGTCACTATAGAGATGATACTAGAAAATGTGCATTTTTTGGAGAATGCAGCTGGCAGATTGACAAAGCCAATTCCTTTAAACAGGTTCAAGTATTTGCTTGGAATTGGTTAATATTTCTTAATGCTGAGAAAAGTGACATCCCCAACCTATTGGATCGCAATGGGGACAAGTAATATTATTTTTTTCTAGAGTGGTGAATTATTCACCAAGATGGAAATTGTTAGGAATAATAAGTAGCTCATATTCATTAGACCCAAAAGTCAATGGGGATAGTTCAGTTGTATTATTGTTTGGTTGTCGGGGTCGAATAATAGGTTGGGGGTTGCAACGAATACACCACTACAAGGAACGGATATATTTAGGATTTCTAATGTACATCTGGTAGATGAGTTTTACCAAGATTGGATAACCTAAAAAGTTTACAAGAAATTGATGTATCAGATTTGCTAGAACTATATTTCCTAGTTGGATTAGGATTAGGGTTATTAACTGGTGTCTATAAATATTTTATTACCCTTTGGATTCTTATGATAATCAAGAAAAAGCTATTCTCGTGGACGTAGGTAAAATTTCTACCGAACCACGTAAATCTTGTATTCTTGTTTTCTTGAATATCTCTTTCTCAATTTTTCACCATGTTGCACGTTCGCAACACCAAGTGACCATCAAGTGTGCACATTTGAGATGCACGTGAACACTTCTGTCAGCACAAACTGAAAACTTAATGAACTAATAACACAATTAAAAGAATGTAAATGAAAATGAGCATATTTAGGGGACTATTACAGTATTTTACCCATACATTCATATGTGTACGAGTATACTATTATATGTGCAATTATGCTTGTAAGAACAAGAAAAAATCGAACAAAAAAGAAAAGAATAATTTCCAAAATATGCGCAACTTAACAAATTTGTCAAATACACAAACAATTAAAGATAAATGTAAACAGCATTCTCAAATGTTACCTAAGTTCTTTCTCAAATATTTAAAGATAAATGTTAACAACGCTGTCAAATGGTACCTAAGCTCTTTCAACTAGGGAATCTTCATTGACGTTTCTATTTTCAGCTTTCAATTTCAAATCCTTGAGACAATGCTGATAGATATAAGATGCAAAACCCCAAATGGCCAATAACATTGCAACCACCTTCACTCCACTCATCTGGTCATGGAAAATGAACACAGCAATAACCGGAACAATGGGCAAACCCAAGGTACATATGACATTGGAGAACAGTGAAGAGACCTTAAAAATCAGCCCAACAACCCCAATGCTAGGCACTTGCCATGTCCCAGCAGTCCATGTCAAGTTCAATACGTACTATACATTTCCAAGTTCATATTCTTTCATCTCTCTTCTCAAATTCTTCCATTCCCTGCTAGCGAAAAGCCCCACTAGGATCACGCACGTCACTATGAGAGATTGGTAGATTATTACATCCATGACCACTCTAAAAGTTTCCCTCTTAAGAATTTTTCGAAAAGCGAATTGGATTATAGAGAGGTTCGATGCATAACTTGCAGATGCAGCAACAGTGCATATGAACCCAATCGCGTACTTCCCTTTCGAGGTTTTATTGGAGTCTCCAAAGTCATCATTTTGGAAAACAAGGAGTGTGGAGGAAATGGTGAGGAGGACTAAAGAGTTCAGTATAAAAGGAGTGAATTTTTGGGCATTAAGGAAGTAGGAAAAGAGAGCATTGAAGCCCAATTGACTTGCACAAAAGAGAGAATAAGTAGACACTGGAAGGTATTGGAGCCCAATTGTGTACGACATACAAAATGCTGCTAGGAATAGACCAAGAAAGGTATAAAAAGAGACAAGGATTAAGGATAGGAAAGCCTGCGGTTTGGACTAGGGTTGCCATCCATTTGCTCTTTGCACCTTTGTCAAAGTAGAGTCTTCCCAGGAGTGTGGCAGCTGACTGGCCAGAGAGGATTAGGAGAGAGAAAATAACCATTTTGGATCCACCACTTGTACCGTCTAAGCTTTGGGACTGTTGAGTGGTGGTTAACATTGGCATTTTCAGGTGGACTTGCTTCTTTGGCTTCATGACCTGGTACAATAACATAATACTGAACAACTTTACACAATAAAGTTTAATATAAAATTTTACTTTAAATTGTTAGATTTATGAATTCTACTAAATGATTTTTTTATTCACTCTCACAAAACAAAAAACAAAATTGCGCCACGCCATTTTGTACACAAAGCTGCAAAACAAAATTGTAGTTATGTCTAATCGAGTCCTCCAAAATCGAGTCTAGTTCCTCTCTAACAATTTTTTTCTTAAAAAATATCATTTACCATTAATAAGTGAAAGATTCACTTATATATAATTGGTCCACCTGAATTAATTCGTGATATGTGATTCATGAACAACAAATGTAAAGAGAAAATGAGTTTGAGCATTGTAGGGATCTCACTCCCTCAAACCTCCAAACAAACACACACAGAGAAAATAGAGAGAGAGAGAGAGAAAGGGAGAGAGAGAGTTGGAAGATGGTTCCAACTATTTATCAACATTCTGAAATGGTGCAAGAAGAAAATTCATTCACGGAAAATATACAAAGTTTTCACTCTGCTGCCACGAGAAAGAAGAAAAGGATGGAATTTTTTATTTAAAGTAATAGATCCCAATAAGTGTTGATACTCACAATTAAATTAATAATAATAATTGATAGAGTCAACAAATGGTGCGTAAGTATCACTACTTTAAAACGAATACACTCAAAGACTTGAGACAGTCTTTTTAAGGAAAACACGTGTCATTTCTTTTTAACTAATGTGTGTCATCTCTTGTATGAATCCAAGGCATTTCCGCTACTACTTCCATTACTACCTAAGGCCTCTTCGACCTGAGTTAGTCTAATTTTGTGACTGTAGTTGACTGATGTGCCACTCTTATTTTTGATGGGGAAGCCTTTTTTCTATAAGTGAGACCACTAACACCATCCAACTCCACTAATACTAATCATTAGGGGTAACAAAAAAAAGGACCTCTACATCTGACTAACTAAATTTGTGTTTGTTGGTTTTTTTGACCCCGCAGCACTACTTTTAGGCTCATGACTAAAACATAAATTTTCAATGCATACAATCATACGAAAATTATGCACATGGATTACCCTCAGATTTTATGAGTTTAGTGGGTATTCTAACACAAGACCTACGAGTTCGCATCTCGACTCCTGTTTGGCATTAAACCCAACTCATGCTGATTGTACTACACTCAAGATCATTTATCACTGGTTAATGTTTGGCAAGAGACTGAAAAAACCTTTCGCCAAAATCATACAAGAAAATTTTCAGTTGGTTTAACACACAACTTGATAGTGCAAAGTGGTAGGCACTGACAATTTTCTCGAATCAGTAGTGCTGAGCTCCATCTTTCCTTTCCTTTCTTTTTTCTTTAACCTGACTAATATAGAAACTAGAAAGAAAAAGGTCCATAAAATATCTGAAAAGCTTACTCACCTTCAATCTGTAGTGACAGTCCTTGAGCTTCCCCCATGTTACAGATGCAGAACTTACAAGAAGACTAACCTAGGAGAGAGAGAGAGAGAGACGTCTTCATATGTAGGCAAAGAAGGAAGAAGATAAGATCAATATGCAATATTTCTAACTGATGGGTGTGGACTCCTCTTTGGAAAGATGCTTGCTATTAACTGTATCTAGTCACCGTTTTGATGTAGTAATGGAGTCTGTTCAACGCTCTTAGTTTCCTTCAACATGTGTCTTATCTATATTAGAGGGATTGTAATAAAACTGAGATTTTGAGAGGTAGAAAGATAGTGAGAGACAGATAAAAAAAGATCAATAACTCATAATTCACTTTTTAGGCGGTGTTTTGCCCTTGCAAAAAATTCTTTTTCTTGTAGTGTAATGGTATTATAAGTATTTCAAGAGTAAACATCAAACTCATTTCATTATAACTAGATGTCTTGTACACATAATTATCTATGTGAAAAAAAGGGAATTGAGTGGTTATTTGGAAAAAAATAAAAGGTAATTTTGACATTTTATGAATATAGACGATTGAGTGTAGTTAAAAATGTAAAATTAAATAGTTAATTTAGATAAATAAAGGGTGTTATAAATATTTTTAAGAGGGGACACATAAGGGTCAGCATCATCAATGAGGGTTGCGTGCTTGGATTTTCTTCTTTATTTGGTGTCCACCCAAGTTGGAATTAGCTTTATATACATGTCATTGTCGCACAAAGCAATAATTACATGCGGATCAATAGACTTGTCAAATTTATAAGAATATTGAATTGATATGTTATGAGTTTGAAAAATAACATAAATTCAGTACAAATAATAATTAGGGTGGTTGTTGGACGTTTTTTTTTATTCCCTTCTTTTAAAAAAAAAAATAAATTGTACTTAATTATCCAATAACATAAGAATGAGGTGTTTGAGAAGGTAACGATAAAGAGATATTACAAGTATGTGTGTATATGTATAGGACTAGTGATGGTAAATTCAACCTAGCACAGAAGGAAAAAAAATGAGAGAGAGAGAGAGAGAGCAGCAGCAAGAAAAGGATTCTACATGTCATGCTTTTTGTTTTTTACGAGGAACCAAACAATTATTGTTATCCTAGTGCAATCATTCTTTTTTGTTTCCCTCGGTAAGTCGACCTTCTTTTTTCTTTTTTTTTTTGTTTGAATTTGTTTTGTTTTGATACCACTGGCTTCTTGTTCAAATAGTATGTCAGATTGGTTGACTAGTGTTATCAGAATTAGATCGAATTGTTCGGATGAAACTGTTGAATTGTGAATAGGAACTTAAAACGGTCGGATTCTATAATTAAACCACTTAAAAAAGTAAATTAGCTAAAAACCGTTGAACCAGCCGAATTTAGATCAAAACCGTGAACCGGACAATTTTTAAAAATTGGCCGGTTGGAATTTCACATGTGATATATGTGAAAAAAAAAAAAAAAATCATTTTTTGGGCCATTTTTGCCTTAAATCAGACGCTGATTCCCCATCCCATTTTCTCACTTCGGAGATCAGTGGCCACTCAGGCCACCACTCACCACTCAGATGAGCACTCAGGCGACCACTCAACTCTCATGCGAGGCCTCTCACTCAATCAATTTCTCTGACTCAATCGATGAGAAGTTTCAACTTTCAAGCCTTCAACTCAGGCGACCACTAGAAAACTTCAAGCCTGCAACTGTCTATCGATCAACTCAGGCGATCACTCAGTAAGTCAGTATTCCCCCTCTTTCTCTCTATCTCTCTCTCTGTGAAATTTGCCTTAGTTTCTATGCCGAATATCTTCATATTATCAAATGTATGAAGGAGATAGAAAGGAATTCTTCAACAAGAATGCGTGCTTGCAGCTCAGAATACGTTGGTGGGCCACTTTGAAACTTTTTCATTTCATTACATGCGTTCACATTTGGTTTACATTACTTCTAAGATTACAGCTCTTGCAAGATCAAGCCATATCACCTATGCTCGAAAACTATTCGATTAAATGCCTAATAAAGACTTGATTGCTTGGAACGTAATGCTTACTGGCTATTGTCATCTGGATATTCACCAAGAAACAGAAACATATGGGTCTTCCTTTTTCCTCCAAAAATATTTTCATATTCTCTTTGTCTCTGACAATTGGATCTACCTGATTAGTTTGTCTGTTAGAGTATTTCTGTAACAAACATTTAGTATCGTGGGATTGTGATATTGAGTATTGTGGGATTGTGATACTGAGATTGTGGGTTTGTGTTTTGTAATTATTATAAATATTGCAAAACATTTTTATTATATGACCGGTTCGACTAGTGAACCATTGATCCGGTCTCTTTACCATAATGTTACATAGATTTATAATTTTGGTATACCGTGTGATAAATGAAATCAAGTTATATATGAATAGGTTTGTGTAATAATATTTTATTCCTCTATAAACAAGATTGAGTATCATATAAGTAGTTGTCAGATTTATAATTTTTTTTGTATACATTGTATCAAACTATGTTATATTTTTGTATTTTATTTTATTAATTGCTGCGCAAAACTCAAATTTTAATGATTTAGGTTTTGTAATGATCCAAAATCAAATTTTATGTCATGTAAAAGACTCAATTGATACGTATGAGTTTAGACATTGTTGCTTATTCGACTAATATACCAACCTGTGTAAGTATGACAAACATTGTTCTTTTTAGGGTACTAATTATAATTGTTTTTTGAACTTTGTCTTTGATTTCAATTTGTTCCTTGAACTTTCAATTGTATTAATTTAATCTCTCAACTACTATTAGTTTTATTTCGATCAAGTCATTTCATCCATTTTCAGCATTAGATCAACATTGAAATGGATCAGAGTAAGACTAATTTTAATTGATCTAACGATAGAAATTAATGGAATGACTTAATTAAGACAAAATTATTATCTAATTCACAGGAAATAACACAAATTAACCATAAAAAATAAATTATGGAAATGAAAATGAGCAATAATTAGGGGACTATTACAGTAGTTTACCTATACATTCATATGTGCCCGAGTATACTATTATGCATGTAATTATGCTTGTTAGAATAAGAAAAAGTCAAACAAAATAGAAAAAAAAAATAATTTTCAAAACAAGCGCAACTTATCAAATTTCCCAAATAAGTAAACAATTAAAGATAAATGTAAACAGCGATCTCAAATAGTATCTAAGCTCTTTCAACTAGAGAAACTTCATTAACAATTCTACTTCTAGCTTTTAATTCCAAATCATCGAGATAATGCTGATAGATATAAGATGCAAAACCCCAAATGGCCAACAACATTGCAACCACCTTCAGTCCACTCATCTTGTCTTGGAAAATGAAGACGGCAAGAACCGGAACAATGGGCAAACCCAAGGTACTTATGACATTAGAAAACAGTGAAGAGACCTTAAAAATCAGCCCAGTTGCCCCAATGCTAAACACTTGCCATATCACAGCAATCCATACCAAGTTCATTACGTACGATAAGTTGCCAAGTTCATATTCTTTCATCTCTCTTCTCAAATTCCTCCATTCCCCACTTGAGAAAAGTCCCACTAGGATCACGCACGTTGCTACAAGAGATTGGTAGATTATTACATCCATGACCACTCTAAAAGTTTCCCTCTTAAGAATTTTTCGAAAAGCGAGCTGGGTTATAGAGAGGTTCAATGCATAACCTGCAGATGCAGCAACAGTGCACATGAACCCGATCGTGTACTTCCCTTTCGAGGTCTTATTGGAGTCTCCAGAGTCATCATTTTGGAAAACAAGGAGTGTGGAGGAAATGGTGAGGAGGACTAAAGAGTTCACTATAAAAGGAGTGAATTTTTGGGCATTAAGGAAGTAGGAAAAGATTGCATTGAAGCCCAGTTGACTTGCACTGATGAGAGAATAAGTAGACACTGGAAGGTATTGGAGCCCAATTGTGTACAGCATACAAAATGCTGCTAGGAATAGACCAAGAAAGGTATAAAAAGAGACAAGGATTAAGGTAGAAGGTGGTGTTGTTTGGTTACTTTGTGCAATCCCATGTTTGGTTGGTGAGAAGAAGAGAAAGGGAATAAGGATCGGAAAGCCTGCGGTTTGGACTAGGGTTGCCATCCATTTGCTCTTTGCACCTTTGTCAAAGTAGAGTCTTCCCAGGAGTGTGGCAGCTGACTGGGCAGAGAGGACTAGGAGAGAGAAAATAACCATTTGGATCCACCACTTGTACTGTCTAAGCTTTGGGACTGTTGAGTGGTGGTTGACATTGGCATTTTCTGGTGGACTTGCTTCTTTGGCTTCATGACCTGGTACAATAACATAATGGAAAAGATTATCATGTCAACCGGACAACTTTACACAATAAAGTTTAATATAAAATTTTACTTTTAAATTGTTAGATTTATGAATTCTACTAAATAATTTTTGTATTCACTCTCACAATACGAAAAACAAAACTGCACAAAGTTGCAAAACAAAATTGTAGTTATGTTTGACTGAGTCCTCCAAAATTGAGTCTAGAGCCTCTCTAATATTTTTTTTCTTAAAAAATATCATTTACAGTCAATAAGTGAAAGGATCACTCATATATAATTGGCCCACCTGAATTAATTCACGACATATGATTCAGGAATAATTAATGTAAAGAGAAAATGAGTTTGAGTATTACAAGGATCTCATTCTAGGCCGGCCCAATAGTATGGAGAAAAAACTAATAGCAAGAGCAAATGATATGACACTAAATAAAGAAGTCCAAGTCAGCTGTAATGTCATTTAGACTCTTTATTTACTCTTAAAATTTAGTCAGTTTTTTGTTGGTGTTACATCTTTCCTAACACCATCCAACTCCACTAATACTAACCATTAGGCGTAAAAAAAAAAGGACTTCTACATCTGACTAACTAAATATGTTTTTGTTGGTTTTTTTGACCCCGCAACACTACTTTTAGGCTCATGACTAAAACATAAAATTTCAATACATACAATCATACGAAAATTATGCACATGGATTAACCTCAGATTTTATGAGTTTAGTGGGTATTCTAACTCAAGACCTACGAGTTCTCATCTCGACCTCTGTTTGGCATTAAACCACTCATGCTGGTTGTACCACACTCAAGATCATTTATCACTGGTTAATGTTTGCCAAGAGACTGTAAAAACCGTTCGCCAAAATCATACAAGAAAATTTTCAGTTGGTTTAACACACAACTTGATAGTGCAAAGTGGTAGGCACTGACAATTTTCTCGAATCAGTAGTGTTGAGCTCCGTCTTTCCTTTCTTTTCTTTTTTCTTTAACCTGACTAATATAGCAACTAGAAAGAAAAAGGTCCATAAAATATCTGAAAAGCTTACTCACCTTCAATCTTTAGTGTATGTTCATGAGCTTCCCCCATGCTGCAGATGCAGAACTTACAAGAAGACTAACCTAGGAGAGAGAGAGAGAGAGAGAGAGAGAGAGAGGTCTTCATATGTAGGCAAAGAAGGAAGAAGATAAGATCAATATGCAATATTTCTAACTGACGGGTGTGGACTCCTCTTTTGAAAGATGCTTGCTATTACCTGTATCTAGTCACCGATTTGATGTAGTAATGGAGTCTGTTCAACGCTCTTAGTTTCCTTCAACATGTGTCTTGTCTATATTATAGTAGAGGGAAAAAAAAAAAATATATATATATATATATATATATATATATAGATAGATATTATAGCAGAGGGATTGTAATAAAAAAGAGATTTTGAGAGATAGGAAGAGAGTGAGAGACAGATATAATGTTAATCCCTAAGTACCGATAAAAAAAGATCAACAACTCACAACTCACTTTTTAGGCGGTGTTTGTTGCAAATTTTTTTTTTTTTTTGTAATGTAGGGATATTATAAGTATTTCACGAGCGAATATCAAACTCATTTCATCATAATTAGATGTCTCGTACACACAATTATCTATGTGAAAAAATGGGAATTGGGTTTTTATTTGGAAAAAAAATAAAAAATAATTTTGACATTTTATGAATACAGAAGGTTGAGTGCAGTTAAAAATGTAATAATAAATAGTTAATTTAGAGAAATAAAGGGCGGTATAAATATTTTTAAGAGTACACACATAGGGTCAGCATCATCAATGAGGGTTGCCTGCTTGAATTTTCTTCTTTGTCTGAGGTGCAACCAAGTTGCAATTAGCTTTATTTGCATGTCATTGTCACAAAAGGCAATAATTACATGTGGATCAATAGAATTGTCAAATTTATATATTAATAATAATGTTGAATTAACATGTTACGAGTTTGAAAAATAACATAAATTCGGCCCAAATAACAAGTGGATCATACTTAATTTTCTAACAATGTAATAATGAGTACGGTTGAGGTGTTTGTGAAGGTAACGATAACGAGATATTAGACATGTGTTTATGTGTATAGGACTAGTGATGGTAAATTCAAGCTAACACAGGAGAGAGAGAGAGAGAGAGAGACAGCAGCAAGAAAAGGATTCTACATGCCACGCGTTTCGTTTTTTGCGAGGAACCAAATAATTATTGTTATCTTCGTGCAATCATTTTTCTTTGTTTCCCTCGATAAGTCCACCCTTCTTTTTTCTTTTTCATTTTGTTTTTTGTTTGTTTTTGTTTTGATACCGCTTCTTGTTCGATAGCAATATATCAGGTATCTCAGATCGGTTGAGTAGATCAATAGCAATACATAGATTTATAATGTTGGGTTATCGTGTGATAAATGAAATAAGTTATATTTGAATAGGTTTATGTGATAATATTTTATCTCTCTATAAATAGGAATCACAATCATATAAATAGTTGTCAGATTTGTAATGTTTTTTGTATATATTGTGATGATGCACAAAAAATATATTTATGCAACACCTGTCGAATAATTAATATGAATAATAAATATAAAGGTGAGATCAACAAATGCAACACATAAATATATAGTAGTTTAGTCAGAATGACCTACCCCACTTTAAAGGTGACAACGATGACGGTAAGACTTTATTGACAAAGTAGCAGGAGAGAGAGAGTAAGTGTATGCTCTAGGTGTCTTGAGAGAAATAGTTGTGTAAAAAGTGTGTAGAGTGATGTCCTTCTCATATAGAGAATACCTATAATTTATAAACATAAAACCTTGGTTAAGACGGTGGCGTGATGTGATAGGTGACCAATCCTTCGGGGAGGATAGTTACAAGTAGGATATGTACAATTAAAAACAGTGTTGATCTTCGAATAGAGTTGAGTTTTTAGATCACATATTTGACTTTTAACGAATTAGGATATAATGAAATTCATCGAATTCAGATTAGAACTATCTAACCGAATTTAGAATATAATGAAAGGTTGTCCAAATCTAATCCATTTGTGGCCTACCAAATAATTCATATTATTATAAATTAACACTATTGTCCTAAGAGTGTTGTTGTCTATGTGCAGTGAAGTAAGCAGTTTATAATTTAGGGAGTTAATCCTTAATGTTGAGTACATAAAAATTATTTTGGGTGTCGTACTTTCTATTTTTATTCCGTACAAACATGACAAGTGTAAAACTTTCTTATTTTATAATTTTATTATATTTTTATCAATAACAAAAAAAAATCTTAAATTTATATCTCTAATTTTTCATCGTAGCACAAAAACAAATGTTTGTACCATAATTGAACCTATTTTTATACTAGTCATTTTGATCCCCTTTGGGTTATTTTTTAATGGGAAATAAGGTTAGGGATGTGACCTTATGGATGGAATATCATTTTTTTGTATTCTCATTTGCTAGCTAAATTCTTTGTATATTTTGGATCTTAAATTAAATTGGAATGAAAAACTCTTGGAGAAAAGAGGTTTTCTCCACCCAAATTTTGTGGATTTTCTATTTTTGTTGAGCGGTGAGAATATGTACAAGTTAATAAATTCATTTTATTTAAAATTTGAAAATTTAAGTCGCTTTCTGAATGTGATACAATTTGGGCATGTGGATGAATTCTTACATCAAAAAATAATTAAATAATCCTCCAATTCAAAAATTAGATAATAGCCAAACCTCAAATATATATATTGAAAAATGAATACTGGGCAATTAAGAGATAATTCATTAAAAAATAAGTATACCAAAATAAGAATATTATGAAGATTATAGTATAAAACTAGAGGTAAAAAAATATAGAAATAAGAATGTATAACCAGGAAAAAAAAAGTAGAGGCAACGTATAAGAAAATAAAATTGACAGAAAATCGACTCAATTTGTTTGGCCTTTTTTATAGAAGATGCGCCACTGCCCTAGTGAGAAAATATAATCTAACATTATAGATAATAATATGAGTAGGGTGTATAAATATAACACAACATGTGAACACGACAAAAAAGTAGAGGATTTGAGTCTTACTTAAAATATCTATTTCATAGACGAATGGACTCGACACGACACAGTTAATAAATCAATCGGGTATGAGTTATACATGATTCATATACGACACGAACTCGATATGACATGATTCATTTAATAAAAATTAATAAACGAATCGGTAGAAGTGGTGAGCTTTTATACATGAATCTGCAAAGATCCGAGACGAACCAGCCTTTTTCAACACAATTTGCAGACCTAGATTTGAGGGATAGAACAATACCTAAATTAACTTTGAAATTAGATGGTAAAAAACCTTATAAAATAGTCTATGATTTTAAACTAAAAATTAAAATATTCACAAAAGATAATACCATATTTTGAATCAGTGTAGAGAAGTTGTACATTTACATCAGATGTCAACTTTGAAATTATTAGAACTTATTAAGGTTATAGATTTAGGCAATCAATAACATATAATGGGCAACTCTATAATTGCAAAACGTGTTTTGTGAATGTTAATATTAGATACGAATCTACTCCCATGGTGACAAAAATTATAGACAATATTTAGAGTCCTGACATATTTATCTAAGCATTAAAAAAAAAAATTAGTCATTTTCATCTAAGCATTCAAAAATTTATTAGAAAAAATAAATGGGATGCACATTTTGTTAGATTTGAGGCAGGTAGAATGACATATTTTTCCCACCCACCTTGAAGCCTAGATATTGTTCAATCCCCTCTTGCCTCCCTCTGCCATTCTCATCCTTTCCAAAGCCGACATCACCCTCCCCAATTAGGGATGTTAATCGAGTCGAATTTTGTATGCTTGAAATTGAGTTTAGAGAGCTTGGTTTTCTAAATCAATCTAAAAAATTGTTCGAACTCGACTTGTTTAGAACTCGAACCAAGCCCGAACCCGAGCCTAGCTGAACCCTAGTCGAACTTAAGTAATTCGACTACTTTACATAAAAACGAACTGAATTTTGTGAGTTTGGATCGAGTCGTTTAGACTCATTTTTTAAACAGGCCAAAAAAATTGTTCAGACACAATTCGTTTAAAAACATGAGCTCGAGCTGAATTTTATTTAAGTGAAATCCGAATAATTCATTTGGATTAACACCCGCATCTCCAACCTTCTAATTACTCTCTTGAATCAAGCACTAAATTGTTCGCTTGTCTTTCCCAATTTATTGAAAGCCTTGTTCCTCTCTCTCTAAATCCTCTTGATTTGGTTTTGTTCTCTACTATTTTCGTCCTTATCCTTTGGGCAGTTGCAGCTATTTAAGCTGTTATAATTGGTGAGAAAATGACTGGTGTAGTTAATGTGGAAAAAGTTCGGTCGGGCTTTAAATCTACTCATGAAGCCTCTGAAACAAACAGGCCCACTAGGATGCTCTCTTAGCTATCACGTGGTCCCAATCATGAGATCACAAATCTGCTGTGCATTGTTGGAACAAGCCCTTCCATAGAGTTGCAGAACAAGTTTATGAAGATGATATATCACCACAAGAAAATGTAGTTATTTAGGACCCTATTTAGGATTGTGATTACACGCTCCTCAAATTCGCAAGTCAGCTTATTTCAATTGTAGTTATCTATGTTATATTCAGTTAAAAATTATGTTTTAGTTGGTTTTATATTTTATTTCATATACTACTGTTAATTATAGGTCATTCTTAATTTTATATTCTTAACATATTGACATGTCCAAATTCAATTAGGCTTGAATTCAGTTCATGGGTTAAGCCCGAATTATCAAAAACCAGGCCAAACTTAATTCATGGTCTCAATTCAATCTAAAGCTCAAGAATCTAGTATGAATCAACGCATGTTAGAGAGTAATTATTGGGATAGTCATGACTTTAAGATAATGCTTATAATTAGTTGTAGCTATCTTCCACAGTAGATTAGTAACTTGACCTTCACGTCACCGTCTCAATTAGGACTCTATGCACCTATTAATTATAAACCTCTTACACATGGAGGCAAATCTCACACACCTACATCATGAGCGTACTTTTGCTGTCTCCTAGTACTTTGTACTCTCTCAATAATAGAATTTTCTAGCTACCGTTGCCACCTTCAATAGTTAGGTCATACAGATCCAATCATCCAATCTTTGTCTCTTATTATTAATTGCTTTATTAACTATTTTACACCACACACACTCAA